GAGTAATAATCTCAAAAAATTATTTCCAGTCCCGTCATGTCAAAAATCCTCAGTGGAGTCCCTTTAAGACTGACTACTTTTGATATTATTATTTGATATTGTTTGACCTAGTTTGCCGTTCTTGATGTACCTGCTGGAAATTTGGACAAGGGGTTTAATTTGAATTTTGATATGAACTGGCCTACTTTTGAAATATTTGATATCGGTTTACCTACTTTTTTCGTCTTTTATGTACAGACTTGAAATTTGGACTATGGGTGTAATTTGTGTAATTTTTGATGTTGAATTCAATTTTGATACCAGCTGACCTACTTTAGGTATTATAGACACCAATTGACCTCCTTTCGTGTATTTTGACATTCAGATTTTAAATTTGGACCAGGTTTGTAAATTCTGATGCCGGAATGAATTTTGATATCAACTGACCTACTTTTGATATTTTTGTTATAATTTGACCTTCATCCTTGTGTTTTTTGGCATACAAACTTGAAATTTGGACTTAGGGATGTAATTTCTGATGCTGAATTGAATTTTGATATCAACTGGCCTACTTTTCATATTTTTTACAATGTTTGACCTATTGTCTTTTTTTTTTTGAGGTACAGTTTAATATGTTACCATACAGAATGTATAATAAAAATTGTTGTCCCAAACTGTACACTTCAAACATCTACACCTTAAATGTTTAGCATGTGACAGTTTGTGTTTTCATTCAAAAAAAGTTATAAAAAATTGTCCAGTCAAAATTAATCCTGCTCTAGTGGTCATCAATTCTGCATTTATTCTACATAGTCTCATAGGAACACACTTGCAACATACATATTTTTAACAAAGCCTTTCCAAAATATTAGGGCAAGATATTACAGATATAGTGAATAATGAAATGATGGGTAAGACGAGTGATCTGGGGCCATCTTAGTGGCCCTATTGTTTATTATGAAGAAAAATAGCTACAACAGTCAGTGTTGTGAAAGTATATTACTAGAGGGGCAAGTTAAAGTTGAGCTGAACTTGTTGAAAGAGCTGGACTTGCTTTTCAGCAAGTTCTTTTGAAAAATAATTTCCAACACTGAAAAGCAGTTGTTTCTGGTGAGCGACTCAGGGCCATCATGGCCCTCTTGTATAAAGTTTCCGAAATAGCTTTATATTTACATGTAAGAAGGTATTTCTAACCAATCCAGTTAATTTTTTTGCTTTAACTGAGGAAATGTTGGGATACTTTGCAGACGACTTTGCAGACAAGTTAAGCATAGAGGGATTTTGCAGATAAGTTAAATAAGATAAGTTAAGATAAGATAATTGTTTATTATAGTAACATATGCAATGAACATTTATACAGTACAATACATTTTAACAAAAAGTTATGCACCCGGCCCAATGGACCCATTAGTCACCTTTTATAATAAATAACATTAATCATATAACTTTACATGATATGACAGATAACGTGAGGGAAATGGTTATGGTAAAACAACACCGAATTATAAATATGAAAGTATGGACATACTAGTATAACAGAAAAAATAAAATATTTAAGTGAGACATAATTTTTGTTGAAATGCAAAACCTAAATTATTTTCATAATTTAAGAGTAAAGTATACTTCGTCTAAACAAGTAAGCTTTCATTATATATTTGGCTGTCTTTCCTATGTGATCAGTCATCAACACACGTACTTTTTCAGAAATGGTTATATTCATGTCCTGAATACAGTCAACATTAACAAATATATCGTTTCTTATGTGTCTGTAAATATCACATGATAACAATAAGTGAGTCTCATCCTCTACTTCATTTCTTTCACAAAAACGACAAATTCTTTCTTCCACTGCTTCTCCAACGAAACGCCCAGTCTCAATACGTATAAGTAAAATGCCAAATCTGAACTTTAATTAAGTGAAACATAATCTTCCTTATCAAAGGTATCTTTAAACAGTTTATATGTACGAAGTTTCCTACATAATTGCAAATCGGTCTGCCATTTATTACGGTACATGTCTCGTATTTTATCTCTAGCAGTAGACAGACTAACTGTTGTTAAATCTGTAAAGTGTTGTTCTAAATTAAGATCACTAAAAATATTTTTTATATTTGAAGACCAATTTTCACATGTATTGCATTTACCGTAATCATATAAGAACACTTTTTTGGTTAGTCTATCATCCCGCATTGATAACAACCTGTTCCAAAATCGTATTATAGGCAGTTTCTGTCTGAACACACTTGGTAGCCATCCTGAATCTCCATATATTGCTACGTGTGGTGCAAATCTATGTACACCAAAAAAGCATTGGTACGATCTGAAGCCCCACGAGGAGGCGCCATACTCCAATATCGGACTCATAAATCAGTTTTTCTAATGTGTTAATTCCAGTATCTTTCAGATTGTAAATTTTACAGATTATATACTCCCTAAAGCTCTTCCAGCACCTTTAGATAATGATTCACTATTAAGATTAAAGTTCATTTTCTCATCAAAAACTATGCCCAGATATTTATCATGATCAACGGTCTCTAGAACATTTTCACCAACTCTGAAAATAAATTCACTGCGCTGTGTAGGTCCTCTACGAAAATGGACACATTTGGACTTATTAGTATTTATTAAGACGCGCCACCGTTTGCACCATTCATGTACAACATCAACCATACGCTGCAAATTTATTTCTGAGTCTGAGATCAGCGCTATGTCATCCGCGTAGAACAATGTAGATACCATCATAGAACCAACGTTAATTCCAAGCCCAAGACTATCAATTTCGTGAATGAGGTCATTTGCAAACACGGACCAGAGCGTCGGCGACAGCGTACACCCCTGCTTTAATCCAGTAGTACAATCGAACCAATCAGTGTGGACGAAAGAATTTGGTAATCCGCTAATATTTATGCAAACACAAGCCGATGCACTAGCATATATGTTTTTAATAGAATTATAAACTCTCCCATCGACATTGTTTAGTAACAGTTTATACAAAAGTAAGTCTCTATCAACAAAATCAAAGCACTTTCTTAAGTCTGTAAAAGCAGTGAATGTGTTTTTGTTACGTATAATGCTATTTAGTGTAAAAATATGATCTTCACAAGACCTGCCTTTTCGCAAACCATTCTGTTCATCGGCCATAAGATTGTTTGATTCCATGTATGCAGAAAGACGTTTGTTAATAAACGCAGTATATAATTTGTTAACGCAAGACAGTAGACTGATTCCTCTATAATGTAAGGGTATTCGTTTATCAGTATTTGGATCCTTAAGAATTGGGAATATAATCGATTTACGCCAAATTGATGGGATAATGCTACATTCAAATATCAATTGAAAAAGTTCCTTCAACACCGCAATGACTGCTGGGAATTTCAATACATCATACGGAATACGGTCAAATCCCTGAGCTGACCCACTTTTACCTTTCATAATAATGCTGGAGATTTCCTCAATTGAAATATGTCGGTTCCTTAATGCATTCGGGGTATATAACGGATCCTCATTTCTACGCTCTATCACTCCCTTATGGTTTAGGCACTGCCTGTAATGTATATCATCAAAATTACCAGTATCTGTACCGTAACAGTAAGAAATAGTATTTTTTGAGGAAAATTCTAAGTTCAAGGGGAGATAAATCTGAAAATATTGGTGCTAGAGTTATGAACCTTGTCACATAAGATGGGGATGATGATAAGGTACATATATTTGAAGTATGAGGTTGATCCTTTAAGAAATAAAGAAGTATCAGTAAAAAATAATATTTTTTAAGGAAAATTCTAAGTTCAAGGGGAGATAAATCTGAAAATATTGGTGCTAGAGTTATGAACCTTGTCACATAAGATGTGGTTGATGATAAGGAACATATATTTGAAGTTTGAAGTTGATACCTTAAGAAATGACAAAGTTATAGTGAAAAATATTTTACTGCACCAAAACTTTAATCTAAAATCTGGACGCGGACGCCGGGGCGAGTAGGACAGCTCTCCATATACTTTGTATAGTCGAGCTAAAAATAAAAATTATTAAAGGGCCATAACTCTGACAAAAATCATTGAACCGGAAAATGCTGACAAAATGCACAACTAGACTTGGTACTGTAATTCCTGTAAAGTTTGGATGAAATTGCACCAGTAGTTTATGAGAATAGTCTGGACAAGTTTTGTGACGGACGGACAGACAGACAGACGACGGAGAAATGATCCCTATATGCATGCTGTGAACATGACAGCCAGGTCAGAGCTCAAAGTTAAAACCAGGGTCATTCAAATAACCATTAGGATTTTTCTTTCAAATGCCACTGTTTGAAAGAACAATGTTGACTAACCAGTCTTACTTGTATGCAAAACTCACTTTTTCAATTATACATCAATAACAGTGGTTAAAATATACACAGATACTTTTCTGACAAATTCTAAATTATTACTGACATGATAACTGAGAAAAACTAGAAATGTGTCAATAGGACACGGATGCCCCCACACGCCACTGTTCTGTCAATCTTATGACTCTAGGTCAAATAGTTTTTGGACTACATGTGCCACAAGTTGAAAACTAAAAATCAACAAAGGGCCATAATTCTGTTAAATTTGGTTGCAGCAAATATTCCTTCTTTTATTACCATCTACACATTAAGTTTGTTAATCCCTGGAAGTTTAAGCAAAATCTGCCATCCGGTTAAAGAGGAGAACTTTGCGTTCACAAAATTTCTACATAGTATATAGTGAAAAAATCAACAAAGGGCCATAATTCTGTTAAATTTGGTTGCAGCAAATATTCCTTCCTTTACTACCATCTACACATTAAGGTTGTTCATTTCTGGAAGTTTAAGCAAAATCTGCCATCCGGTTTAAGAGGAGTTGCTTTCACAAATTTCTACATAGTATATAGTGAAAAAATCAACAAAGGGCCATAATTCTGTTAAATTTGGTCGCAGCGAAAATTCCTTCCTTTACACCATCTACACATTAAGGTTGTTCATCCCTGTAAGTTTAAGCAAAATCTGCCATCATGTTTAAGAGGAGTTGCGTTCACAAGATTTTGGGACGAACTGACAAGTGCAACGCTATATGCTCCCACATTGTGGGGGCATAAAAATAATCTTATTTTACTTACATGTTAAACTGTCAAATCCTCTTTTGTGCCAGGCAGTATCTACTGCACTGGACATACCACTGCGGGTTTTACAGGGAAATTTCGGGGAAAGTCTTAATCTGCTGTGAGGTTTTTCAAGATGTGGACCACTTCTGATTTGTTTTCAACCTTTGACTGTCTGTGAGAACTGTAATTGTAAAAATATTTCAAAAATATTTTCTGTAATTTACAATTCATCTTTAAACGTAATATTGACAAATATTGAGAAACTACACCAATGAATTGACAATAACTTATTTATAATTAATGTAACACAATGTTCATACTAGAATAAGTTTTGTTAATTATTAATGCTGATTGCACGACTTTTTCCTGACCAATTTTAGTAATCACTTTTATGAAATAATTCGGACTGCATATCGATTATTCATCACATGAAGATACATCAAATTGTTTCTATTGAAGACGACCCCAAATAGCATTACAAAATTATCACAGTATTATCATTTAATTGCTACACCATGATTATAAATATATATAAAAAAACCTAATAGATTTCAACTTACAGTTTAATAGGCATTTTTGTTTGATGTATTGTTGAGGATTGTTCATCACAATTGTATAAATCTGACCATTCACTGTCATTTGTAACTGTAGCATCTGACTGAAGAATAGACCTTGAATAAAAAAAAATACATATGTACAAACAGTATATGGAGAGATATTCATATATTGAAGCAACTGACATAACACAAACAGTTCAACAACACCAGTCAGTTTTGCATAGTCCTTTACTTTCGTAAATAAACAAAATACAGAAAACAAACTACCAGTACTCACTTTAGTGCTGGCGAGGCACCTGGCAAAGGACATCCTCCAAGATCTTGTCAATAAGACCTTCCATGATGTTGTGTTCTGATACCATTGATTCTTCATGATGCACATCCCTTAAAAAATATGCATGTATTTAATAAGAATTTTAGTCTTAAACCAATGAAGGTAAAATATGATAAACAAGATCAACAAGGAAAGGCGGCGTTCAATGAACGCAACCCCCATATGACCCAGCAACAAGTACCAATGGCAAGGAGCCCAGGCGGACCCAGTTTGTCATGTAGAAATAAATACTTTTTTTAAAAACAATTACACATTTATGTTATTTTGAAAAAAAAAATATGTACATGAATATAGAGTAACATGCAAAAACAACAAAGCCATTGTTTAAAAATTCTTTTCTCATATATGGATTGTATAGTATTCTTTGGTTCCCTAAACCACGAGTATACCAGCAATATAGGATAATACCATGATAAGCTGCATAGACATAATAATTACAAAATAATTTATCAAATTCTTCCAATTCAATTACATGTTATTTCGAAAATATCATTGTAAATGTGTCTTACTCCATTTCCTTGATCTTTCGCAGCAGATTCTGTCGACATAGAAGCCACTGTCTCAATGATATTTCCAACACGTCTCTCCATTTCTTTTCATGTTTTTATTTCAATTGTTGGTATATTGAGTGTTGACAACAAATTGTTGACCCTCCTCTCACCGGCCCACCTACACTATCAATCATTGCTGTAAGAAAATGAAAAAGAAACAAATTATTTCATTTAAGTATACAAATATTTTGTCCAAAAAAAACTTCACATGGATTGTAATTTACATAACCGTGATAATAACACATTGCATAAATTTATATAGAGCTATTTTTAGCTGCCTCATGTATGTTGAATATTACTGTGACTGTGTGTATTGGCAGCATACTGCCTTGTGTAAACTGTGTCTATATAATGCACATGTAGGATTCTGTAATGTCTTAACAAAAATTGCATTGTTGCAAGATTTAATTTAGCAACGTTTTATCATTTTTTTTTCAAATTTCTCAGTGACTTTGGGAAATTAAAAACAGTTCAGAGGGAAGTTTATAAAAAAATTTCACAATAGGGAAGTGGCTAGCCGTACAGGCCGTACGGCTAGCCAAAAGTTCTAGCCGTACGTGAGTCGTGGGTCATGTACGACTAGCCAGGACACACTGTATTGGCTAGCCGTACGGCACTTTTCAAATTATATGGAGTACGTGAGTCACATACGGCTAGAACTTTTGGCTAGCCGTACGGGCCCGTACGGCTAGCCACTTCCTTCACAATAAGGAGTAGTGTTTTACAGCTCAACACAAACAAGATACATGTATTCTGTATAATAAATTAATTATTTATAAATCTGAAACATAAATTTGGTCCGCATAATTTCCCTCATAATTTTACATGTTTGACATCATTGGAAGACAAGTAGATAAACACTGATAAATGTATATTCATTTTGGTACGAGACCTTACATCTATGAATTCATAATCAGTATATAGTACTTAGTCTAAAGTATGATGCAATACATTAATCACTTACCTGTTCCTAATTTTGTGTTGACAACGAAACATGGCATTCCAACTTTCCCAGGTCTTCAATCTACTAGTACTACTACTAGAGTCTATGTGTTTTTCCATAGGGAACACAATTCACATGACCGCATTCTGTGTTTCGACATTTCACATACAAATATCCAGACACACCCTGTTTAAATTCACCTAACATATTGTCAAAGTTAATGGTAGGGCCTACTGGTCCAAGTCTACATTTTTTACAAAATCTTAGGTTTGACCGTGAACACGCCAAACTCAACGATTCTTCTTCCCTCTTTCCAACCCTCATTATCAACCGATTTAGGAAGAGTTGATGTTTTGTAGAGCTGGTTTGGTTGACCCGTAATAGCGAGCTCGACGAGCTGGCCCGAAGGGCCTGCACGAAAAGCGAGCTTTACGGTAACGCGAGTACCTGCTAAGTGATGGTTTTGAAAACTTTTCGTCCAAAGTACCGAATTGGACACATCGCAACTTTTCGAATTTAAAGATAACGATAAAAACTGAGGAATTCTGACTGAAAAACGGATGTGTAGACTGGTCACCCGCGCACGTCTATGGGAACCATAATTGGACAGGGAACCAGAATAACGGAAGCTGTGTATAAAAAATGAAAATCGAAGGCGCCATTTTGTTTGAAATCTGATAAAAAAAACAATTTTTTGTCGAATTTTGTTGTGAAAACTATCTAGAATGAAAGAAAATGGTCTAACTAAGAAAATGAATCGAACACCAATATCTTTTATTCAGTCGTTAACGCTGTACAGACGTTTAAAGTATTGTTTACGTGACGTCACAATGTAGCGCCAAACAGTACGTGCAAAACAAACAAATCAAGTACGCTATTTTAATGTCGCAAACGTTTTAAGTTTTACATTTATTTCACTTTAAATAATCTTTATTTCGCTTGAAAAATTATAGAGTGAAAGAAAATAAACAAAGTTTTATCAACGTTTTCAAAACTCGTTATTCATTTCACGACAGGGGCGGAGCCATATTTAACACAGTACGTATGACGTCACACGCACTCGTTACTGCATTTGAAATAAAAATGAGCGATTATTTATACTATTTCACGTAAAAAGTTCATCGAGCTCGCTTTGAGGCTTTGCCTTTTTCATATTACTGGTTACCTGCACTATAGTTATGTTCTATAATTAAGTCGGAATACTTGAGTTTTCTGCATCTTTTTACACTTTTTTTGAATCGACCGAGCGTATCACGCCTGTAAGACGCCATGTTAGATATCTACGGAAATTACGTCATTTTCTTGGGGAATACTACCACGTGACCGGGGATATCCGCTATTATTAGAATTCCGACTTTATACGTAAACAAACGAAGTTCGTTACGATAAATGGCGAGATATGGCGGTAATTGTCGAAGATTGCCGATTTCATTATGGGTCTTCTACCTTATAATTTTTTAACTGTTATTGTGAACTACAATACCCTCCATGATACATAATTATGATGTTTCAATTTGATAACTCTTAGGCAAAAAATAAAAATATGTTTGTTTCCACTTCCCGACCCATTAAAATAGGGTTGGGTAGGTAGGTAGGTTATAGGTAGGTACATGAAGGACTTTTTTTTATATGTGCATAATAATATAATTCCTTGGCAAAATAGTTATTTACTGAACAAAGTTGGATTAACTTTCAGAACTGATATGTTTGTGGCGATTATCTGGCAAACTTGTTTTTATAGAAAAGTTTCTGGTGAACTTTCAGCGAATATTTTTTTTGATAGAAAGATTCTGGCAATCTCTGGCAAATTAGTTTTCCACTGAAAGTTTCTGGCAAACTTTTGGCGAACAACTTAATATTCTGGTGAATTTGCCGCAAAGTCGCCAAATGTTTGCTACAGAGTTGCCACTAGTGGCGATATCTGGCAAACACTTGACACAGTGTTTCGGCGAACTAAAAGGTTTGCACAGCGAATTTGCGGCAAAGTTGCGGCGAGTTTACGGCAAACCTTTCCTTTTGGTACGGGGTTATATAATTTCTCAAAATCCGATTTCCATCTATTCAAAACTTCGTGCTCATTTCTGATTCATCAATAATTTCTATTGGTATAGAGGAGTCCTTTCAAGGTCCTAAACTTTTAATCTTTTGCCAGAAGTCATTCGGGTTAGAAGTCGATATTTCTTCAATCTCGATCGCCTTTGCATACCTATACGCTCGTTCACATTGTCTCAGGAGTTTATCAAAAGCATTACGTGCACCGATATATTCGTAATGCAATGTCTGTCTATAACGGTTATTTTGATCACATTTTTAAAATGCCCTTTCCTTTGTATTCGGCAAGCCTCGCCCTTTCTAGCCCATATCAGCCTCGCCTGATAAAATTGATATCAAAAGACAGTAGCATGTTTTTTCTATTTATCATGTAACACATAAAAACTGTCAAAATAACAAAATAATCTACTTTTAAACAGCGAATTTCGTAAAAAGGGGGATTTTTGTTCAAAGAAATAATTCTAGACAACAAATTCCACCGCCCCTGAAACTTAGAATTTGTAAATGGCGGCTATTTTTTCTTTCGATTCGGATAAAGATACAACTGAATGTAGGCTTAACACGATCAAATTCTTACCTTTAATTTAAACATCGATCCAAAAAATCCCTTAGAATCACATAAACTTAATTTACTGCACTTTTTGTCTTGAATTGTCAAATTCAAAAGTTCACGATAATTTCAATCAAACAAAAGTCAAATCGGCAATCAAACACAAGCTACACAAACATCATGCGTTTTATTTTTTAAACGAAACAATTTGTTCGCTTATTAAATAATAATCCGGCAAAATAAAGTAAACATTTACAAGTTCTCAAAGAAAATCGTCAAGCCTGTTTGTTATGTTTACATGTATGCTTTATTTACCAAGAGTCGTGGGCATTTCTAAAAATAGACCAGTGACGTATGATGACGTCACAGGAACAAGCATGGAAATTACCAGAAAATGCTGAACTATTTGTATTTTGCACTGTCATGATCTTTAATGCATCTCTTAAGACTTATTTCCGATTATCTTGCTCATTTTATATAGGTACCATTTTTCATTCACATGCATTTTGCTTTTCCTTGAGTCGTGGCTAACATGTAGATGTCAACAGTAGTGTAAGAAAACATTGGTCAAATCTCAGTGAACTATTTCAAGTTATCTTACCAATTTATTAAACATCATTATATGAATAGAGCCTCCTATCTTTATAGATTTAAAGTCAGATTTGATAAATTTATTCGGTACTTAACAGTCCTCAATAAGATCTTTTAAAGTTTGTTATGAAACTAAAATAAAACATCAGGGCAACTTTCATTCTGCCTTCAAAATCTTTTATACATTAACAAAATTGTAGCAACAATTGCAAATGATATTTTGATAAAACAATATGGTTTTCATATGTATCCTATTCCGTTAATTTTGCTTTATAAACAAACATAACTAATTGCAAAAAGACGTGGATACAACAAATGATTTCAAAATTTTATTCAAGATGGATAATGGGATCGATATTAGATATAATGATGCCGATGACCAAGTGTTAGTTTATATTTCAATTAATAGTTCAGTGAGACTTTCTGTGGGCCCAATTTTGGCGGGAAATTAAGTCGCACCTGTTCCAAACACCGGAAACCAGTAGGTTGTTGTTGTTGTTGTCAAAAAATGTAAACAAACCCTACAAATGGCCAAATTATTCGATTATTACAGTATTTACAACTTTTTAACAACAAATTATAAGAAATATTAACTTCTAAAATACATTTTTAACCATACAATTAGTCATTTACGATTTTAACCCACCCACGACTCAAGGAAAACCCACGACTTAAGGAAAAGCAGCCAACTTTATAGTATGACGTAAACATTGATGATGTCATTGGCAATATAAATTATGACGTCACTCATTTAGTTGGTGTTAAAACTATTCGCTGTCTAATTTATCGCATCTTGATTCAAGACTTGTAAGGGTATGAGCTAACATTGTAGAATTCACATGCTGATGAAAATGAGAATATAAGCAATTGAAAAAAGTCCGTTAAAAATGGGCGGGGCTTATTTTTGATATCAGGTTACTGACCTGATATCAAAAATAATTATCAGGCAAGTGTTATCGGACAGTTACCATAGCAGTTGCATGATAAAATTGCTTATATTCTCATTTTCATCAGCATCAATGTGAATTCTTCAATGTAATCTCATACCCTTACAAGTCTTGAATCAAGAATCGATATTTATTTATTTATTATTTCAATTTTGATTTCAATTACGAATAAATTAGATAGCGAATAGTTTTATGAAGTCACGTCATAATTTATATTGCAAATGACATCATCAATGTTCACCGTCACGTCATACTATAGCCTGGAACGCCGTATTATCGGCGTACTTAAAGTTTCCACTATGCACGCGTTATTTTTCAGTGCTAGATTAAATAATTTATATTTTGCGTGGAAAAGCAGACATCTTTTCTACAAATTTACCGTAAGAAATTCAGTTTATGCTGAACTGGGTCAAAGATGTTTAGCTTCAATACGCATGACCGCATACACAACTTCCTAAAGGGAGAACACTCTATTATCGGACGTATTCAGCATTGATCAACTATGGCAAGCCGTTGTTGTAAAAAAAATGACTGAAAACTTGTCTTACCTTATAGTTTGGCTATCCACCGTCAAATAATTATCTTTCTGTACTTTACACACATATTATGGTTGATTTATAAAGTTTCAAGTCAAGAGTATGATTCAACAAGTTCATGGTTTTCAAAATAAAATGTCACCAAACAATGTCAAAGTGTTATTTCAAAACAATTAACTGGATATTTATAATGTCAACATGGAACAGGAAACAGTTCAACAGTCTTTTAAACATGTTTTTTTTACAGTTTTAAATGTATTTATTGGCAGTGGGACATAGAAATTCACTATGACGCCGCACACAACCCTGACCTTAGTGCAGAAGGACAAATGTGTCCAGTGATGACACTTATCGCATTGAGCCCACTTCACAATAACTAAACTTGTACACTGCCTAAGAGCTGGAGGTGAAAATTTATGGCACACACAGCAATTAGAAGATTCATCCTCAGATCCAGACTCAGTTTCAGCCTCTGAACTGCTGACATA